AGTACTAAAAAATTTAGAGGCCGTTAGATGCAACTCTTACTAATCTTGTTGGTTGGATAGTGATTTAAAGGTGTAAATACGAACTATCGACACCTATTAGTAACTCCATACTAACTAATGGAGCCCGATAGTTAGCGATTACCTAGCTAATAATTAGTAGATCTTTTAGATCTCTTGGTACTAATTTTAATTTGTTAATGTTTAGTGGTAACAGATCCAAACAACCTAAATGACCCATAATAGCTAATTAAAGTCAAATTTGATGCCTAAAATATGTTTAATTATAACGAGGGTATTAAATTGTAAACAGATAAAATCCACATGGAACACTCCCAGTTAAACTCTGCCGATCAAACAACATTCATTTAGAAAATGCAGCAGATCCAAACACATTTGCACGTGTTCAGTGCTGATGTGAGCGGAGTAATTTACCTTCTTGTTCTGTCCATCACCACTCAGGTCAGTTCTCCCCACGCCATCAACCTCAAGGCGCCGCAAGCATCGTCAGCGTTGCACCCGGCCTCGGATCATCACACGTCACCCTCCGCGGCTCAGTCCTTGTTTAGTTACACCCTAACTTTCAAAAATTTGTTATAATACCTGTCGCATCGAATATTTACGGTATGTATATAGAGCATTAAATGTAGACGAAAAGGAAAACTAATTGCACAGTTTGATAAGAAATTACGAGACGAACATTTTAAACCTAATTAATCCATTGTTTTGAACAGCTATTCACTTAATAAAACGAACGTCTTATCACGATAAATTTCAAAAATCCAAATCCAAATTCATACAACTAAATTGGACAGCCTCAGCTGGATGGGTGCCGTGTCCCCATCCACCCGTCTCCGGAATCTGGACGCCCTCCCGTCCAGGTTCACTCCACCCCCTCATCTTCCTTCCTCCCGGTCCCCTCTTCGAGTTGCCCCCAGATCCCGCAAACCGCGACAAGAAACCGCCTATCAGCGGACGTTGCTCGTTCTCATCGCCCACCTCTCTCCTCTCTCTCGTCTCTCGCCAAGCCGACCCCGGCCCCTGCAGCCACCATGGCTTCTTCAAAGAGGAGAGCGGAGGTGTTGCCAGCGGGGACAAGAAGGATCTATTCCATGTTGTCCACAAGGTGCCCGCCGGTGACAGCCCGTACGTCATAGCCAAGCACCTCCAGGTTACAGTGCTTACTGCTCTTACCAATTATCCCTGTCTAGATTGGAATAACAATACTGCATCGTCATGGCAGTACCCCTAGCTTTACTGTTAGCTTATGTATATATTTGACACTACAAATATATTTGAGGCTTTTACTTCAATGCTTATTATAAAAGTTAGCAATTACTGACAGGACATTAAAAATCAGCTTTTACACGTACGCCATCGCTTCTAAAAGCTCTTTTCGCTCACACATACTAGATTTGGACTTCTAACATGTTATAAACTGCGGTCAGGTAAAGTCGAATATCTCGCGTTTAATATACAATTATTTTTTTAGCATCTTAACGATCTCAATGAAAAAACTCAAAATTAGAAAGTAGATTCATTATTTTTTATAAAATTATCTTCATTTGATTCGTAAAAGTGTGATTTTTTCTAAGACATTAATAATATCAAATCATATTTTTTACGAGAATTAAATTAAGATAATTTTATACAAAAATTGTAGATATTGTCTAGATCTACAGTTTTCTTTTTGAGTTTTTTATATGATGGTCATTGAGATGCCCAAAAAATTAATTGCATATCTCGCATTCTATAGATTTTTTTGACTTTTCACAACCGAGCAGTATCGATTAATCGTTAGAAAATCGATGAAAGTGTTTGAGGCAAAAGGTTCACATGAGTGGCACCTATAGAACTCAACTTTTTTAATTACTTATAGATAATTACCAACTTTATAATAATACACATGTGCCTCAATATATTTTGCATCAAAGCAAGTGCCATATGTTTGTTTCTAGGTGCCTCCTTGAGTACTCAGTGCACTACATGCCGATTCACCTTTGTAGTAGACGCTGTTGTTGCCATAAACCATGTCTTCATAATCACTATATTACAATATCTTAGCGTCTTCGCTTTGTTCGTCAGTAGAAACTTGATATCGTGTATTTGGAACTTTACGGTTAGATTGCCTTTTACTTTATATGGATATTGACTGTGATAGTTCTTTTATTCAGTTCTATGCTTTTAGATACACTGTTTCATTGACCCACTCTATTGTACTACTACCATATTGGGCGTCGAGTACATGGTTGTCTGAGATGGGGATTGGGGAGTGGTCTAACGGGTAGTATAAGTTAATCACTGGTCCAGTAAATGATGTGATTCATGACAGATTATTAGAATTAAGTACTTAAGCACTTAATCGTGACAGCTTAATTTATGCTTACTACACAAGATTTTCCTCAATTCCATCTGAAACAGTCTTGATTGCTAATTTGAACGATATTTATTTCATTGCATGAATCAGCTTGTGGAGAAGCAACCGGATATGGCAATTGTGTGGTTCTGGAAGGCAATCAACTCAGGGGACAGGGTGGACAGTGCCCTGAAGGACATGGCCGTGGTGATGAAGCAGCAGGATCGTTCACAGGAGGCAATCGAGGCCATCAGATCCTTCAGGCACCTTTGCTCCAAGCAGGCTCAGGAATCCCTCGACAACCTCCTCATCGATCTCTACAAGGTACGCTTTTTTTGCCACTGCAAATCTTGCACAAGTGCTCAAGAGTTCTACATTCTAATCTGATTGGTCACATCTTTCAGAAATGCGGAAAGTTGAGGAACAGATTGAGCTTCTGAAACAGAAGCTGAAGATGATATACTTTGGTGAGGCCTTCAATGGGAAGGCGACAAAGAAAGCACGATCCCATGGCAAGAAGTTTCAGGTCTCAATCCAACAAGAGACGTCTCGCATTCTGGTACCATTTGTGCTCCCTGGTTACCCATACTGATAATTTATTTGCATGTCGATCAAGTTTTCAGTTGCACACAGCTAGTCAGCTCACTGAAATTTTTTCCTGTTTATGTCACAGGGCAATCTTGGCTGGGCTTACGTGCAGCAGAACAACTTTGAAGCCGCTGAATTGGTGTACCGCAAGGCACAAACTATTGAGCCTGGTGCCAACAGGGCGTGCAACCTTGGACTGTGCCTGATTAAGCAGGGTAGGCATGAGGAGGCACGGCAAGCACTCGAGGATGTTCGACTACGTAGAATCTATGGAACAGAAGATGAAAAGGTGGTCGCCCGTGCTGAGCAGCTTCTCCGCGAACTAAACCCATTGAAGTGTGTTTCATCGCCATTCGAAGTTGGCCTCGGTGTCCATGAAGAGATCATTGGTAAACTAGACCTTGTGATGAATGAGTGGACGCCATTCAGGTCAAGGAGGCTGCCTGTGTTTGAGGAGATAGCAACTTTCCGGGACCAAATGGCTTGTTGATGCATTATTCTGCATGGTTTTATCTTGTCAGTGTCACCCTTGTAGAAGTTTTTGTTCATATACTGGGTGCGGGGGATGGGGGTGTGACAGTGAGAAATAGATATCAGTAGATATCATATAGCTGGGGTGATGCAAAGCGTTCCCTCTAGGATAGTGTGGTTTTGGTTCATGTTGTATCATTTAATGGTTCAGATTTCCTCAAACAGTGGACAAATGTTCGTGCATGTCCTGAACTTGTACAGGATGCAATTGGCTGTTGTGAACTGATCGCTTCTGATCTTGGCTTGTTCAAATGAAGATTGAAACGGCTCGGCCTCAAGCATCGTTAACTACGATTTCAGCTGAGGCAAAGCCAAATCTGACAACAAAGACGGACTAAAATCACTGCATCAGAAATAAAGTATATCAACTCACAAGAGATGTATTAACTAAAAGAATCTCCACGGTCATTCCTGAACACAATTCAGCACACCTTCCTGACAACCTTTGTCCATCTGCTAGTCTGTTTCAAGCTAACTACAAGTTCAGTGTCCAGAACTAGAGGACGAAGCCAAAATGAGCTTCCTGAACCCCCGAGGCGATTGAAATTTCAGAGCATTAACAAGAAAGTTCAGTTTCCGTTATGCACTGCTCTAGACTTCTACACAGTCTATACACTAGAACAAAATGTTCAGTTCTTGCCAAACTGACAAATTACTCTCCATCCTTGTCAAAGGTACCACTAGGTCACGTCCCTATGGCCACTGAAGATCATTTGCCGCTGCAGTTACAGGTGATGCACAACATTAGCATAAATGCATGAAATATATTCAGGAGAGCCATGAGCTCCAGTAGTGGTAATAGTAGCACCTCTAGATGGCACCAGGACCAGGACAAATTTCATCTCGTCGTTGCCGGGCGGCAGGTCCAGGACGACGGGGAACAGCCTCGGCGCGGCGCCGCTGCTCCTGCGGCAGATGACGAAGTCCTTGTGCTTGGTCTCCTCTTGCAGCCTCCGGCTCAGTGCTGAGAGCTCTGCTCGTCGAACGTGAAGTACCTCCAGGTCCCCTCGTCGAAGTCGTCCACGGCGCCGTCCTCCCTGGCCGTGTTGTGGAAGATGGTGCGCCGCGCCGGCATGTGCAGAGGCTCTCGACTGATGGCGGCCTCGACCTTGGTTTTCGATTCCTGGGAAAAAATCATAACAAATTTCTTCTTAGCATTGGATACGAATTGATCAAAACCACAAAGCTCATATAACATGACCAGCAAATGAACCAATTCAGCAGAACGTGCTCGTTCAGAACAGAACTACCAAGAACAAGCTTCGATTATCCAAATACCAATCAAGTTAGCGTTCTTTTTTATCTCCAATTAACTAATTGCGCGATCAAGCTGGCAATTACGCTAGAATGAATCTTAGCGAGTCAACAAGAGGTGTTTGTTCTCTAAGAAATCAACCCACACTACTACAGGAATCAATTTACGCAAATGCGGACCAAAATGGGCTCCGTGGCGAGCACCTCTTTTGCCCGCCACGGTTAACGGTGGTGGGCCAGTCGAGGTCGGTCACCGAGGCGCTTCGCTGGGAAAAGGGTTTACCGATGGCGGGCCACCTTACTTGCCCGCTTCAGAAATCGTTATTTATTATGGCGGGCGGTATGAATCGCCACTGCCGCGTTAATACGATTTACCGTGGCGAACTATTTAAACTATCCGTCGCGGTAAAGAATTGATTTATCGAGGCGGCGCTTTATCTTGTCCGCCGCGTAAAGCTTCAAAATAAATACACAAAGACCACCCCTTCGCCTTCTCCACGGGTCTTCCTCTCTCAAACTCATGGGAGGAGGCTTTGCCCTAAAATTTGAGAAAACTTTTGATTTGAGTTGAAGGGCTTGGATTTGAGGAGGAGCCCACCGAGACGACAAAATATGTGCAAACTCATTTGATCATGTATGGTTTAAATCGAGGCTACATACAGCCTGGACATTTCACGGCGAAAAGAGTTGGTGTGAGTGGCGGTGCATCCGGAGTGAGCTCTTCGACGCCGACGGCACCACAAATGACCACCGGTGAATAAAGATCCTTTAGGAGCACCCGGCTCCTCATCATCTTCAAAAGAATTGCGCCACCCGACAAGTGATAACGGGTTGTCGTGATTACATCACGGTGGATGATCTAATGCAAGACATGGCCGACGGCCGGCTGACGGTGGGATGGTCAAGATCTTGTGAGCCAACCCGATGATGTGCAGCTTGTTGAAGATCTAGTCAAACACTTCGATGAAGACGATGTTGTGTTGGGTTGCCCAAAGTGGTTGAAGAATTTCAAAGAGTTGAAGCAGGCAGCAGTTGATCCTCTCTATAAGGACGGCGGCGATTGTCCGAAGGAGTGCACGGCGCTCCGTTTTAACCTCCATATGTTGATGTTGAAGGCTCGTCATGGTTGGTCCGACACTAGCTTCAATGAGTTGTTAAGTTACCTTGCCACCACGTACACTAACGGCTAACAAGGTGCCCGCCAATACTTATCGGGCCAAGAAGCTGATCCGCCAAAGCGATGGCGATGAAGCTTAGAAAGTTTGATGCATGCCCTAACCATCGCATCCCGTGATCGGGGCAATGAGTATGAGAATTTGATGAGTTGTCCGCGACCGCGGCTTTAGTCAGTACAAGAAAAAATCTTTGGTTGTCGCATGGATGCGTAAGACGAGGGAGGCTTATGGGGTGGTCGGAAGAAGAACAAGAAGGGGGCAAGAAGAGCGGTCGGCCAAACGGATCTTAGCTCGGCGAGGATGATGAAGAAGAGGGTTACACGACAAAAGTCCAAAGATTGTCGGTGTGGTACCGCCTGCCGTGACCGATCACTGCGTGCAATATTCGGGAACCCGGACGATGCCAAGCTCATGTCTGGGCATGCATCATCGGTGACCACTGAAAAGCGATGGCAAGCTACGGCACCCATCCGATGGCAAGCGGTGGAAGGATTTCGACGAGGCCTACCCGGAGTTTGGCAAGGAGCCTGGCATGTTAGGGTTCGCTACTGAAAATCGCCGAGAGATGAACCTGTTTGGTGAGCTTAGCGACTCACACAACGCTTGGCCCGTCGTGCTCACCATGTACAACCTACCTCCCCATCTATGTCGGAAGCGTAGGTACCTTATACTGACCATGCTTATCTCCGGACCGAAGCAGCCCGGCAACGATATAGATGTGTTCTGGAGCCGTTCATGGAGAAAATAAAGATACTATTTGATGTTGGAGTCCAGATGGTGGATGCATCCCATGAGAGAAGTTCACACTAAAAGCAATCATCTTTGTCACCATCACCGATTACCCGGTCTCTTCTCCTTTGTCGGGGCGAGATCAAAGGGAAGACCGGCTGCGTAATTTGCATCGACGGGACTGCTACACTTACCATAAGGGATCCAATAAGATGGTGTACATGAGGCATAGATGGTTCCTCGCCAAAAATCATAGGTCTGTAAGAAGTATTATGAACAAATACTTTGACAATCGAGCGAATCGCAGCGTGATCAACCGACGAGACTAGTTGGGGGAGGTGTATGAGATGGTCAAGGACATGGATCGGTGGAGTTTGGAAAGAAGAAGAAGCCACCAAGAGGGGACAAAGCGCATAAAGGAAGCGGCGCGGACCAGACGGAGGAAGTCCCCTTGCCGCCATTCCTTTCAAGAAGAAGTCAATTTTCTTCAAGTACACATGGCCAGATTGGAAAACACTGAATACACCCCATGCCATCGATTGCATGCACTAGAGAAAATGTCTTGAAAGCACGATCGGTGTCTGCTTTGGACATCAAGGGCAAGACAAAGATGGTATCAAGTCACGGACGGATCTTGTCAATCTGGGCATCGGTAGGACCTTCACCCGAGACCGCCTCGAACGGTAAAAATCGATATCTCGGGTGCAACCTGCACCCTAACACAAGATGAGAGGACAACTTTTCTTAAGTTGCTTAGGGGTATCAAAGGTGCCAATCGGTTTCTCTTCCAACATCAAGAGCCTGGTCTCCATGAAAGACCTCATAATGACCGGCTACAACTCACATGACTGCCACGTCATGCTGACGGTGTTCCTACCAATTGCGATTAGGGCTATCCATCCAGAGTACATGAAGATGGTCATCACACGGATGTCATACTTCTTTAACCGCATCACCCAGAAGGTCATTGATAAGGCTGAGCTACCTGCCCTGAAGGAGTTCATCGCGGAGACCCTTTGCTAGCTCGAGATGTGCTTTCCACCATCTTACTTTGATATTATGCCACACCTAATGATGCATATGGTCGATCGGATCCATCAATCTGGGCCCCATGTACCTACACCGATGTGGATGTCACGAGGCGGTTCATGTCCACCCTCAACAGATCGTCCATAACCGCGCTTACCCAGAGGGCTCTATGATCGAGGCATACACAACGGAGGAGGCCGTGAACCGGTGTATGAGGTACATAAGAGATGGAAGGGTGATTGGGCGCCTATCCATCACCAATAAGGCAAACCTCGGGGATGGGGTGCACAGAGCCAAAAAAATGCACGCACCGATGTGGCAAACCCGAATGGTGCAAGAAGCTCATTACAAGATCCTTCATCAGTTAGTGAGCATGGAGAAATACATTGAAAAGCACCTGGAAGAGATCCACGCCGCTAATGACGAACATCGCACGGAGGCATGGGTCCAGAACCATCACAAGAGCAATTTCATAGAGTGGCTCAAAGTGCAACACATACCCCTTGAAGGATGCCCTGATGAAGATACGGAGACCGTTAAGAGGCTTGTGTTAGGCCCATCCAGCCAAATCACCACATGGCAAGGGTATGACGTCTAGGGCTACGGTGTTCCACACGAAAGACAAGGACAAGAAGAGCTCGCACGTAAGCTGCGGTGTTCGATACGAGGCGAAGAAGAGTCCACAGCCGAGGAGGAGGCAATACTACATGGGCAAGTCGAAGAAATATGAGAACTTGACTACAGGCCAAAACCTATGCATAACTGTCTTCCGTTGCGATGGGTCAAACCGAATGTGGTTGCGATGGGCGCTTATGGGCTAACCACCGTGGACCTCAAAAGTATCGGCTACAAAGATGACCAAGGGTACTAGCAACCAATGTTGCGCAAGTGGCCTACTATATATATATGAGAGGACCCAAAAGGCATGTGGTTGTGTCCGGAAAGCGGCGGATTGTGGGAGCTGATGGGGTGCGTAATCCCAAACAATACAACAACTACGCAGAGCTTGAGCTTTTTACCGATCATCCAAAGAAGATCA